CTCATCTCACAGGTGTGCGTACTCGGGCTCCTGGGGAGGTTTGTTGGTGATAGGTATTTTTCTTCCATTGGCACTGCACAATATTTGAATTTGGCAAATGATGATATGGAATAACCAGTCTCTTTAAAAAGAAAGGAGAGAATAATTTGGCTACGTGCAGCTCAAGCTGGAAGACTTTCTTTAATAAAGCCCTAAGGACTTTTTTTTTTTTTAATAGATTTAAACTAGAAAAACATGTGAAATTAGAAGTGGTGTGGGTGTGTAGAATTGTTGTCAGGGTCTTTACTATCTTAATGTGAGCTGGGTGACCATTTTTGCAAATGAGATTAAACTTCTAAATTAAACTTCTGTAGCCTGTGACAAAAAGCAGTTGTTAGGGTGCCGTAGCATTAACATTAAACAAAGAACACAACCCGGTATAATGCTGCTATTCTGCTTTTTGCCCGTGTTATATGCTAGGCGATAAAGGCAGAGAACAAGAACGACAATGAAGAGGAAGAGTCTGTGCCTCTGGAGGGCCAAGAGGAGACTTTTCCCCCAGCAGAAGAAGGGGTCTGTGGAGCTACAGAGCTGTTGGTGGGCTCTGAAGAAGTGAGAAGCTATAATAATATATCCAGTCTTATTCACAGAAGGCATGGCCAGTATTTGTAATTTCAAATTCTCCTGTTGCAGTTTTACTGCTGAAAACACAAAACCAATCAGAACTGGAACAGCGAGAAGCTAATCGGTCAAACACAAAGTATACAGAAACCCTGACAAAACTGGAGCGGTTCCTTTGTCGTGCTCTGTATGTGTAAAGTTGTTTGGTTTTTTTCATCTGGAGTGACGCAGCTTTGCCCGTGTATCTGTGTGCTGATTTTCAAACAAGGCTCTCTTGTTGATTCTTTGGCTGCATTGTTCATCTCTCATGATGAAAAAAATAAGCAGAATTTTAGGGGCAAATAGAGTTAGATTGAAAAAGCTGTTTCAGGTGATGGATTTTATATTTCAGGAGAAATTTCCTGAGACTTTCTCAGACAATGTGGAAGGAGAGAGTTGTCCTCCTGAACTGGGTGGCATGGAGCAGCCAATAACAGACAGAAGAAACCCTTCCCGTGCGTCTTTGGGAGCTCCTCCGCAGGCATCTGCGGTGCCAGTGGAGCTGAGCAGCTGCACTGAGTCAGGTATCATTCCATTCCTTGTTAACAGTGCAATACTTGATACCATCTATCAAACAGTTTCTAGTTTTCTCCTTTTCTGATCATTGTTAATCCAGCTGGAGGCATAATACTGTAAAATCTAAGTCTTTTTCTTTTTGGGGGGGGGTGGGGTCCAGGTAACATTGGAGAGGCCGTGTCTCTCTATTTGGAATCTGCCTTTGAGCAATTTGGTCAGCTTACTAGTGAGCACGGTGACCAAAGGTGGGAAAAGAAACGCCAGCAGCATGGACCTGAGGAAAATGAAATAAGTGGAAGAGGTGAAGAAACAGAACTGGTTGTCTTGGATCCAGAACATGTGAGAAGTCCTCAAATCTTGTCATTCTTCTTTGCAGACTTGATATTTTTAATTGTATAAAATGTGCGAGGTAAATGTAAGCGGTGGCTTAGCTGTGTGCTGAAACTCCATGTTTAAAAATAGCTTTTGCAAAAGTAGTAACTCATGAACATGTCTCCTCCCGTAATATTAACCCCAGAGTTGCAGGTTCAGAAGCGGGTGATGTAGTGGGGCAAATCTGATGTTCTTCAGTACTCCTGAAAGAGAAGCACGTGCAGCAGGAGTGAGTGGACGGGTTCTCAGATGTAGCTCCTCCTATATGTTTCTGACTTCCAAATATTCTCAGCAGTCACTTTCTGATGTCAAGCAATACCTGCTATATAACTCTTCTCACTTGTAGCAGTGAGTGTAGCTAAAATAAGAATGCACGTGTCTATGGCAGAAAATGTTTTATTTAATGGTGGGAGTGGCAGTAAGGTTTCTTCATAATTTATTTACACAAGTATGTTGAAGTTTATGAATGTCATACTTCTTTACAGCCTCTGATGAGAAGATTCCAGGCTGCCCTGAAGAATTACCTTAATAAGCAGATTGAAAAAACGAACCTAGAGCTTCAGGAACTGGTATACAGCGTTCTTTCTTTGCCTTCCCACGGCAGCCCATCCCTGTCTGTGCTGAAGTGAGATAGCTGATTTCCTCTTGTGT